CGCCCCCCCCGCCCCCCCCCCCCCCCCCCCCCCCCCCCCCCCCCCCCCCCCCCCCCCCCCCCCCCCCCCCCCCCCCCCCCCCGCCCCCCCGCCGGCCCGCGCGGATTTACCATTCCGTGGCCTGTGAATTTAGAATCCGTCTCGAGGATGCAATACGCGGAAGAGTAGTCGCCGGCAGCATTCATGGCGTCGGACCCGGTCTTGTCTAGGGACGTGGGAAACCGCACGTCGCGGGTCCGGAAGCCGGTGATTGTGATCTCGGCCATTTTGAGCTGGGTAAGCTCTTATACCGAAAGGGAGGGGGGGGGTTAGCTAAGGTAGGGTCTGGGATGAATGTAGTAGATAGAGGTGAGGGTAGTAATGAGAGGGAAAGGTGCTGGTGAAGGTCAATGGCAAAAAATAATAAAAATGTAAGCCAAGAAGAAACAATGTTTTATTATATCGAGACAGCAGCAACACCCAGAAGACGTGCCACCTCAAAGACCGAGATCGTGGGGTTCGTTGGAGGGGTTGAGCTTCGTGCGGAGAAAGGCTATAGATCGGATTCGGGGTAGTTCGGTCCTCTATTATAAATACGGTCCTATGTTGTCTCTTTCATTAAGAGGTTGTTAGTTGCGGGGTTCGGTTATTAGACTGTACGTTTAACTAGACGGGCTATGTTTTATAGAGGGGAGACTATGTTGAATAGTTCCCCTCGTCCTGATTGATGGATAAATTGGAGAAATACGCCGTCTCTAAGCTTACTATTTAGTAGCAGTACTTGACGTGTATATTAAGCCGAAGTGCTTTATTTAGATATTTTGGGTCCTTTATTTTTATAGTCTTGAGCTTGTATATGGAGATTTCTGCCGATGGTATATTCTAAAACTATGAAGAAAGTTGGTGTTTAAAGTATATATATCTTACATTTTGGTCATGAATCCATATCCTAACATAACTGGCGTGCTTATGATCAGTCTGAAGTCTTCTAGGTCTTATAGCTTTCACCACTTCGTATGTAGGTTAGTATGAGAGTCTGAGCCTATCATCCTTGTCCCAATAGCACTTTTGAAAGCTCAATGTCGCCTAACCTGGCTTAAATCGACTTAAGCGCCTTCACCGTGGCAACAAGGAAACATGCCCACGCCGGAATATCAACCATAGCGGTCCTCACGTGGTGCACATCCAGCCAGCCCTGAATAGCATTGACACCTCCGCCGTTAGGATCTTCCTTCGCATCGATAGCATCCTTGACCTTCCACATAATTTTTGGCACGAAAGCGAAATGAGCAAAAGCTAGAGCCGAGCCAGCCGCGTACCAGTTCCAAGAAGCAGCGTGAAATCTCGAGTAAAAGTTGACGAGGCCGAAAGTAATAGACAAGCCATAAGTGATGAAGATGGAGGGCAACGCGTTCCAGAAGAATGTCTCGAAGTAGCGCGGTGCGACCTCGTTGACTTTGCCTCGTTGTTGTTTTAGAGAGACGAGGGCGTTGAGGAAGATGTGTGAGTCGCCTGCGATGACGATGGAGGCTGTTGATGTGACTAGTGGTGCGACGCGCAGGAGCGTTAAGGGGTCGAAGAATAGCCCTGGTGCCATGGTATATAATGAGAGAGATTTGATATTCTTCGGTATTTAAGTAGGAGTTTTTATAAATTGCTTATAAGAGGTATCTAAATGACGAGCGATGAGTGAATACAAAGATGGATGAGGAGAGACGAGTTGGTGACGGGCGCCTCTCGAGGTCTTATTTATTCTTTATTATCTGTACCAAGTCCCATCCCTAATGCATCGGACTCAGCCGGCATAGTGGCCTGGTTTGATCCATCATGACCCGATCCATCATATCTAAATATTACATAGCTTCGCGGCGTGGAGAGGAGGATGATGATATTTGAAGGTACATTGGCTCGCCTAGAAATAAGCTCGTAGATCAAAGTACCGATCCGTTGGTGTAATTCACTTTTCGGGGTTTAAGGATCTCTTTCCCGAGCTCTGATAGGTCAATGAGGTACGTATTGGGATACGCTAATGCAGACTGCTTACTTACAATCTTATGCCGGGGCATTCGGAGGATGCGCGTGGGACCAGGGGTTAAGGTACCTATGTACCTATTTATTACTGTCATTATTAAGCCGTACTATTTTCACTCTAACATCAACCACAGCAACCATCGATACTCAGTACATTGAGAGTGAACAGCGTTACTCAAACTTGAGGTTGCTTCATCTTCAATTCTCAATTACTGTTCCATTAGCGTAATGTGCTTTATCGCCTTGGCCGCGATGCTCCCACCAGTCTGGAGGCTGTTCGAGTTCCCTAACCCCTTCAGGTTTTGTCCATTCTACGTACTTCGTCAAATTCACCCCATGCGCATCGCGATAATCGACTAGTTGGCGCCAGTCTCTGTACTGTTTCTGCACTGCGATATACTGGGTTAGCGATGACCATTTATTAAGAAGCACACGTCATATCCGAAGCTAGAGGACTCCCGTCTTTAGATCGCGGAACATAGGAGAGACTAAAGCAAAGTGAGCTTACCACTCATGTCCGGAAAGGGGTGCAATTCGTGCTCCACCCAGTTGTAAGTCAGAAATTCAGCATCAGCATTGCAGAGAAGATGTTCCATCATCATTCCGACGCAATGCTGTATATGAATCCAGTGGATTTCATTCCACTTAGGCACTGTTTCCCCGTCCCGGTTCCAGTACCTGAAGGCCTCATGTCGTAACACACTTAGACAGTGAACCTGATGGAAAAAGTCAAGCGCGCCAACATACGCATTGCCTCCTAAGCCCCAATAGCCGTCATTAAACTTGGCGACCGTGGCAGGATCCTTGCCCATGGCAATTATTTGGTCCCTGGTTAGGGCAATGGGCTTCACATGCTCGAAGCTGTCCCAAGCTTCGTTGGTTTCGTTGGAATCTGGTAGACTTCGCCAGACAGGCGGGCTATCTCCTAGCCAAAGACTTCCGTTTAGTAGCGTATCGGTCAGTGGCATGTCTACTTCCTCGAGAACGGGAGCTAGCAAAAGGAAAGATTAGCAAGCCGTAGTACGCCTCTACAGGTGAGGTGGAGCGCGGATAACTCACAATACGTGGATGTGGACTTGAGACACGCATTACGCTTGGTATATTTTACCCAAGCAGCAAAGTATAGAGCCAAGGCCGCCCCGAAGAACATGACGTTAAGGATGGTTAGAAACCATATTGTTCGGCTTCTTTCCTGCTTCAAGGGTGCTTGTATGCTTATCTTAGCATCCTCTTCGAGCAGAGCTTCTGAAGATTCGATTCCGTCTTCCCCTCGCCATGAAGTCTCCCGACGGTTCCAGGGCACCGTAAACCTCAGGAAGGTTCGTATAGCCATTTGAGTGGAATTAGGAGTGAATATTATTAGCTTGTTCACGAGGGGATCGGTTGACCCGATAGCTACTAGAAATCTTGAGATATTTCCGGGTCGATCCGCTGGAATCAGCAATATGCCCGCTTACGTTGAGTTCGGCGTGATATTATCTGTATGTCTTATCCTTCAAGCACGTATCTATGCGGAGATACCTAGTTTGAGGAGATGAGACTGATATACGCCCGAAGTATCCGCCTCTCTAGTCCACCAAGATATCAATGAGAGCATTCTTGTTCGATTCTTCTAACCTAACTGAGGTTAAACTGGCAGGGTTATCCTCTGTATCGGTCTTCCGAGGCTTGACTTTCGGTAGGATTGCAGAGTCCGTCTTTTTGACCGTTGTTTGGCTCTGTGCTACGAAAGGTGGAAGCATAGTTTTGTGAAACATAAAGTACACCTAGGAGTATATCGATGTTGACTTTAGGGTTGAGGTATGATATATAGGAGGTTAAAAATGCTTACACCACCTACATTACCCTTGATATTACTAATATTTCTAATCACCCACTTATCTATTATAGGAAAGTATGAGATCGACCTCAGCTCCGATAAGGTCTTGCAGCCATTAGATTTAGCTATTATGAAATATGTCTGATGTCGTTGATTCAAGGTCAGCTTTCTGTGCCACCCCTCTAAATCCTTCGGGCAGGGGCTTTTTGCAACCTGGTCGTTTTAGTGTATAGAGTGCCCAGCTTGGACGGCAAGCATCCTGGTCTTTCATGGGGCTCGAGGTGATCTTCTCTTGCACGGCATAGAATAACAACTGATAACAACTTGGATGAGTATAGACATTGGCTGTATATGTGTGAGGGAATCTGGCCCTGGAGCCAATATGAGATAAGATATATGATGATAGGGATAACTATGATACCATCATCGACTTGAGAGTCTCGTGACTCCTATTATGATGCTGCTACACGAATGTTCCCGCTTAATTCTCACAAGCTTGGGGAGGTCTTGACTAAGTCAATCCTGTTATCACTTGTCTTCGATAGAGAAACGGAGTAATAGTGCCCGAAAGGTCTAAGTATGAGGTGTATAAGTATCTCGAGGAGACCGTCTATGACTATCCCTATTGCTCAACGGCACTAAGCTCTTGGACTTATTACCTCGTGACATATCTTCCATTTCGTCTTCAACTTTCTTGGTCACCACTTAAAGCCATCATGCTTTTCTCTAAGCTCTACCTCGCTGCTACGTTCCTGGCTGGTGCCTTTGCTGTGCCCCTGCCGAATAGTATGTCTTACTATACATCTATCCTTCAATTTTTCGTCTCTGTGGGGGGCAACGAGGGATGGAAGTTTTCGGCCATATAATATCGAGCCCTGTGCTAACTTAAAGATCTAGATGAAAACATTAACAGCCCAACCTACAGCATCATTGCCTACTCCATTGGCAAAGATGCAAAGCGCGACAGCGCCCTCTCCACCGATAGAAACCTAGCTCGCGCGGCGGACATAGCTCTAGCTAAGCGCGAGGAAGCTGGTGCCGAGTACAGCGTCCTCCTATACTCGATCGGGAAAGAAGAGAGGGACGTGAAGGAGAAGCGAGATGAGTATAGTGTTCTTGTGTACTCTATCGGTAAGGAGGGGGAGGTTGAGGAGAAGTAGAGTGTAAGGGAGTGGGAAATACTGTATTAGGAGATTGAGTGCTTGAGTTGGTGATTAGGGAGTGGATAGATGGGTTGGTATGAGAGAACTTGGTGCTACAAAAATGTAGACGGAAATCGTGGAATGTGGTTGAACCGTCTGCTGTAGAGGTAGTATGATAAAACATTGTATTAATGACGGTTCAATATGGCTTCTTTAAAAGTAGGTATTAACCTATAAATCAGCCTGTTTGTTTAAATATGACTAGTGAACTGGCGAAAATAACATCTCTTTACCATTTTCTCCCCCTATTACCCCTATCCCCCGCAGTTGTGCATACATATTATTAGTAGGATTTCGTATCCTAATGGCCCTCCCATAAAGGTTATGTTTGAAAGGAATATATGAGCTGAAAACTATCTTGGAGTTAATAGTTAATCATAGTCCATATAGGGGCTTAGGACTTAATAAACTTGTAGGTATTGATCTTTAGTGACACTACATACAAACTAACTATTCACAAATAAGATAAAATAAAGGAACTGTTCTACGAAAACATGGCTTCTCACGATCGTCGTCTTAGATCTTCATGGAACAGCTTGATCGTATTATATTATTTATTGTATCTTAGTCATATTTAAAGCTGTCAAAATTCCTTTAATTTTTAAATCATAATCTAAATCATCACAGTTTTTACTAAATCACTTTGATACAAGCTTAAAATACGCAAATTATTGTATAAATCCATTACAACAATTTATTTTATTCGACAATCATTAAAATATCTGATCAAGATGGACGTTTTGCAAGAGAGACTCCAATCGGTTTTCACGGGCTTCGTACCTGGTTTATCACATACGATCTTGCGCCAAGATCCCGAAATCCTAGCCATTTTCGTCGGGGGTAATGGGCTTTACCTGGACGAGGCAGACTTAAAAGCGGGAGTTCACCGTTTGTATTGGAACGTTGCCGTTATCGTCAAGACTAAGCTTGATATTTTCAGGCTTGTCAACGAAAACCGCCAACGTCTCTTGGAACTAACAGGGATCGTGCGGCAAGAATGCCCTCATGAGCTATACCAAGTTCCCTCTCCAAGATCTGAGTACTGGTCAGAGTTTGATGCCGTCAGATTCACTGGCTACGATAGATCCTCGTCTATGAGATCGGTTGTTATAATGAGCTGGGAATACTTCGCCAGACCGGTGTCACAGACTAAGTCTACAACTGCGCTCAATATATATTCGTATGTGGATAAACGAATCTATAAGAATAACAATTTTGGACGTGTGGAATGTCAAATTCTACAGGCAACTAGCCTCCCAGATGGGTTTGTGATCCTACACGACCAATGGCTATACGAGGACTGGCATACGCCCTATAATTCTCGCCGGGACCCCTCGGATGTGGTGCTTGGCCAGACTGCACAGCTGTTAATTAGCGGAGTCAACTTATTCAAGAATCAGTACAGAGAGATAATTACCAAACAGATCCTAGCCCTTTACTTTCATGTTACCGGGCAATCTGCAACCGCCAAATGTCTTACTGATTCAGACCTATTTTCGTCTTACTATACTGAATGGATGAATCAAAGACTTGAGGCATATATGCTCGGCAAAGAAGTTATCCAGAGCTTGGGCCCAGGCAACGTATCTGCCCCTGCCCGGCAAATAGCTTTATTTGGAGACATATCGACGGGAAAGTACTGGGAAAGGAATACCTTCAGGACTGTTGAAGCCGTTGATAAAAAGGTACTCGGTTGTTTCGAGCACGGAGACTTCGCCTGGATCAGGCAAAGGAGGCCACTCCTCGGCGAGCACTCAGGAAAATGGGAGGTCGCAATTACCTGTGCGGCTAGAAATACCACCAATGTACTCTGTAAGATGACTCCATCCGCAAATGACGAGCTCGAAAGAGCAATGCTAGCTTCTCATTTTTATCCCTGGGTACAAGTTCCACGTATATCGGGCTCTGAAAAGTTGCTCTTCCCTATGCTAGAGTACGAGTATGAAGATGAAATTAGGACTCGGTATTATAAGACTGGCGGTAACAACTGGAATGACGCGGAGGCGCTGCTTCATGCTGAAGTGGTGAAAGCTGAGATAATGCTTAGTGCCTATCGAAAGTCGTTCCGGAATCCTGATATACAAAAGCAGGATACTAGCGAGGTCATAAAATCGCATCTTGATCGCATCGCAAAAGGGGGGAGGGTGTTCCGAGAGCTACACGGTGATAAGATACAGGTAAAAGGAGGCGCCTCGGTTGCTACTAGGAAGCTGTTGGACCTGGAATGGATCATTAACGGCGAGCGGTATCCGTCCTTGCGCAAGTCGCTCGATCGAGCTGCCAGAGATATCCGCAAAGCTCGGCCCGGTCCGGTGGTCTTTGGGTTAGGAGATACCAGTGCGCTCCATACCATGGTGTCACCGAGAACCGTACAAGGAGGTCGTAAAGTTATCTTTGATAACTATGGGTCTGCCAAGTATCACCCAGTCATGCTTGACGTCGCTAGAGCCTTCTACTTCGATGTGTTCTTTGAGATGGCGCGCCTGGCCGATTTACCATCTCGCACGTGGCCGCGGATGAGATACTCGTTTACCGGGACCACGATAGACGTCAACTACGCTCCGAATTGCAGCTGGTTAGCACGGACGATAGCTGATATCAAAATAAGATATCTGCTTCATCCTCTCGAAGACGAGATTAACGCTGCGGGGCATTCCTTTGATGATCTCATTCCTCAGTTGTCCGCTGGTATATTCCTGGTTCCGACATTATACCAGGACTTTTCCAAGAATCCAGACTTCATCATTGCAAATATTATGACCGGGATGGTTATGTCGCGATGTAAGAACTGGGACGAATTCCACTTGGCGGTCGGAAAACTAGGGCTTGGTACTTGAAGCGATGGCAGCGCCTTTTAAAAGAAAAGAAAAAAAATAAAATAGAATAGTGAAAGAATTCGGATAATTTATGACTTTCTCGTAGCCCTGAACTGTGACTGTTTCCTGAAGTAGTTTAAATGTTATATATATAATACAAAATGACGTGAATAAGAAAAGAACAACTCCGTTGAAGCACGAAAAGCCACAAAACCAACTTGGGACTAGACCAACTAATATAGCTAGAAGCTCTTTGTATAGATGTCTCAGCAGCCCCGGGATCCAACACAGTGCCGAAACACACGGTTTCTTCGCTGTGCAGCAGTTTATAAGTCCAAATAACAGACAGACCATTAATATAATCCCTTCGGGTAGCCCCGTGGTGTAGTGGTAAGGCCTTGCTATTAACACCAATACCGGTACCGGCTATTCGGAGGGATTATATTATTTTTTGGACGACCTTGAAGTCGTACCGCATCAACCCCTCAGGGATTGATCCAATTACTGATCGCCTTGTACTGTGATACTGCAGCCACTACCTCATATATGAGACAATATCACATGTCTAGAGCCCCTGGTTTACTGGGACAACTAGAATAAAAAAGCTGTAGCTATGCCAATTGTCCTGTCTTAGGAGTCACTATTATTCTTTGTGTAACAATAGGTATAGTCAACAACATGGTTTTTCTTTTCACTATTATTATAGTCAGAGGTAAACAGGGCGGAAAATCCGCGACATTTTGCTGTAATAATGTTGTAGAGGACAAGGAATTGCGGGTATATAGTTAGGAGTAGGCACCAATAAGGGGTAAAAAGCTCAGACAACATTACCATTAGACGAAGAAAAGAGAAACTATTGTGTCACTTGGTGTGTGTATGAATACGAATTATTAAGGTATAACTATGCCTTATTAAATAGTGCCAATGAAAATAAAATAAAAATGAGGTGGATTCAGAGGTAGATAGGGAATTTAAGGGGCTTACCCCTGATCATCACTCTGGGGGATCATGGGGTATAAGGTAACAATCATTAAATACACAGACACAAGAGCTAGATAGTATAGTTACGTACCACCAAACCCGGAATGCTGTTACCAAGTACATATTTAATAATATAAAATCAACTTCATTATTACGTGGAAAGCAAGGTACTACCACGGGCACCTAAAAGGGCATGTATTCAAATACCTCTTCTTTGTTAACAATGTCCCAACATAACCCTCTGAACAGAAGTCCATATTTTTGTTGACTTATACCAACATTCTCTCTAGGTCAGTACAGCCTCTAAAGTCACTGTCTACCTCACTTAGCAATATCAACATCACCTCATACCACCATCAGGTATTCTCATACATAGCGCAACAAAACAGCACACTTCATTAGATAAATTAAATCGCTATTACGTACTACGGCCTAGTAGATAAAAAAAATATGCTGCACTAGCTTTTCTGTTTCAAAAAGTCCTCATATCCGGACATATAACTATCCCATAGCGCCAAAGTATAACCAGAAATTCCTTACACATTTAACCCTTAGCCTGAGCACTTGTCTCACTACCATCCTCACTATTCTTCCTATCTTCACTCGTAAATGTCTTAGCTCTAAATCCTATCCACGGCAAGCCGCTCCGTAGTGCCAAGCTACTCAGCACGACGCTGATACTGCTCAGCGCCATCGCTAGACTAGCCCAGACGGGCGAGAGACGCACGTGCTGGCCATTGGACATAATGGGGTATAGGCAGCCGGCGGCAATGGGTACAGCGAGCAAGTTGTATATGAGGGCCCAGCCAAAGTTGAACTTGATGCGACGGAATACCGTTTTGCTTAGCTCAAGTAATGTGACGATGGACTCTAGATTGCTGTTTAGTAGCACGAAGTCCGCGCTGGAGATGGCAACATCGGCACCGGAGCCAATTGCTACGCCTATGTCTGCTGTCGTAAGTGCCGGCGCGTCATTGATACCATCACCCACCATGGCGATGAATGCGCGGCGGTCCGTAAGCTCGACATCTCCTCTGCGGGCCTTAAGTGTAGACTGTAGCCATTTGATCTTCTCATGTTTTTCTGCGGGGAGGACTTCGGCGATGACGTTGGATTCGGGGATACCCATGCGTAGCGCGACGGCTTTGGCTGTAATGACGTTGTCCCCCGAAAGCATCCACACATCCGTACCCCTCGATTTTAGGGCCTGAAGCACGGCAGAGGCTTCGGGCCGTATTGGATCGGAGATTGAGAGGGCAGCTGCGATTTGATATAAACCTGGCGTGTCGGGAGTCTCGACAGCTACGAGTGCGACTGATTTAGCCTCTGATTTCCACATCTGAAGGCTCGTAGCAACAGCGAGTGGGATATTAACTGCAAAATCGCGCATGAGCGACTCGTTACCAACAATGATTTTGAAGGGTAATGATTCGAAATTATAGGCTGCCTTCAGGCCCTTCCCTGGTAACTCCTCGACATCCGAGACCTCAATGCGCTTAGATGTCCTGGAGCTACAAAATGAGACAATGGCCTTTGCGATAGGATGAGTGCTATTCTCCTCCGTAGCCCGAAGCGCCGCCAGGAAAGCATCCCGCTGCTTTTCGCTTACTGTTTGCCCGGGGAAGATCATATTATCTGTGATCGTCGGCTCACCACCCATAGTAAGGGTTCCAGTCTTATCGAAGACGACACAGTCGATCTGACTCGCTTTCTCAAAAGCCTCGCCACCGCCCTTAACGAGTATACCGTGCTTCGCAGCTAGGCCACCGCCGACGAAAATCGCAGTGGGGGCAGCAAGAGCAAGACCACATGGGCACGCGACAACAAAGACAGCGATGGCGAACTGAAGGGAGAACACGACCCAGCCTCCTGATGATACATCGAGGAAATGCCCAGGAATCGCGCCAGATACGCCGACTGATAACCAAATAAGCCAAGTGAGGATAGCAATGAGAGTAACAAACGGGACAAAGTAAGCAGTCAACAGATCTGCCAGCTTTTCCATCGGTGCACGCTTGGTCTGACCCTCCCGGACGATGTCGACGATCTGATCAAGCATCGACTGACCAGCACTACCGGTGATTTGAATCAAGATAGGTTTACCAACGTTGATGGTACCCGCGAAGACGTTGTCATTAGCAACCTTCTTTACTAAGCGGGATTCTCCTGTTAGACTGGATTCGTTAAACTCGGCCGCACCACGCACGACCTTTCCATCACAAGGAGGCGAGCCTCCGTGGGGAATACGGACGAGATCACCGAATTCGAGTAGATCAGTATGGACCACTGTCTCTGTCTCCTTAGTATCTGTGACATCTTCGACAAGAACAGCGGTAGTCGGGCGAAGCTTGCCCAGGGCTTCCACTGCATCACCTGTCTTGGATTTGCTGTATGCTTCGATGAGTCGTCCCCAGAGTAAGAAAAATGTCAAGAATACAACAGAGTCGAAATAGAAGTTTTCGTCATTGACCATGTCTGGGCGATCCACAGCAGCAGCAATCATCTGGCTAATTGACGAGATGTATGCGATCGTAGTCCCTAACGACATGAGCATATTCATGCTGCCGAATCGATAAAAACGCTGGAGAATTGGTGTCTGACTTCGTAGTCTCCATAACGCCCTGACCTCCTTTAGTGCACGTCGGTGAAATATATCAGCACCGAAAAAGTATACTGGTGTTGCCATGATACAAAGAGAAAGTTGTGCCCGGCTGATTCCAGATCGCCAGGGCTCCATGAGGTACATCTTAGATGCATCAGAGTTGGACACAAGGCTCATATACACTAATGATAAACGTTGGGATGACAACAATCGTCGTGAATAGGGCACGAAGGAAGAGTTGCTTCTGATGACGCGCATGTATCCTCTTTGAGCGCTCTTCTAATGTGGGTGGATGGTAGATTGTCGCCTTGAATGCTGGATCGCTTGCTTCAATAGCTAAGAGGATCCGTCGGATAGTGAAGTTGGGCACTACAGGCGTGTAGGCTATCTTAAGAATGGGTCGTTTTCGGCTAGGTCTAGCGATAACTTCGAGGGTTTGAAGGAATCCCTTGAGACTATTCGTGGCCCGGTCAGCGCAATGGTCGCAGTAGAATCCATCGATGCGGATCTCGACATTTCTCTGATGCTTTGGCTTATCTTCACCATCAATGCTAACGACTTGATCAATTTCGGCGCCTCTTCCTGTATCTTCAATTATCTCAACGACTTGATTGGCGTCGTCCTTGGTACCAATATACTCAACCACGCCACTGTTTGAAAGTAGATTGATCGTGGCCTTAGTGATCCATTGCTTCTCGTTTAGCTGTGAGCTGATGTCGTTTACACATGCAGCGCATGTCATCCCGGTGATGGCCATAGAAACTCTCCATCTACGTCCCTCACTGGGCGACTGGGGTTTGTCGTCGTCCTCGGCGATGAGGGATTTGGTTGATGTGATCACTTCTCGAACCGACTTCTCATCGTCTCTTTTCTGATCTCTTAACAGACCATCAGCCTTTTCCGATACTACGCTACAGCATATAGTATTGGAGGTATTAGGCCTCGGCCCGTTAGTTCGACATGATTCACAGTTATTGAGATGTTCTCTTTCCTTCTCTGCCTTAGCGATCGATGTATGCCCATGTGTAAGTTTGCTTGGCAGTTTGAAGATTCGACCTAGCGGGCTGTCTCGTAGGCTGATATCTGGCGAAGTCGGGGCTGCTGAGGGGCCGGGAATGTTAGATGGATCTCCATGTAGCAAGTTGGCTAGAGTTTCTTCGCCATTGGTTGAGGCTACACTAGAGACCTCAAACCCCGAAGACTCCAATTTAGACGCCATCTCGGTAATAGACGCTTTGGGATCGTGCTCGACTGCGACCCATGAGGTAACGACGTTGGGCGACACCCAACTAATACCAGGGAGTCGTTCCAAGACATCTTTTATAGAGGATACGCACGTGGGACAATGCAGATTAGCCAGTAAGAAATTTGTGGTGATGGTTTGGTCTGGAGTAGCCATTTTTGGATAACTGGTGTTGTCTGCCGTTCGGGAGACTACTTAGGAGTGCGACCTGCGCATGCGATGTTGATCCCTTTGGTCCTGCTGAATACGGACAGATCTAGCAAGGCGGAGACGTATAGGAGCTAGGGTAACTGATGAAAGGTACTGTGTGCGATTGTCGGAATATATTAAAATAAGAATCCGTTCTGGGAAGTACGGACGCCGGTACGCGGGCGATGTGTAATTCAGCCTGAAAGGGGTATATGTAGGTTGGTACCAGTAGAAACAGGAGAAGGAGTCAACCCCACCGGCGAATAAAACCTCGAAAAGAAGCCTCAGAGAAGTAACCGTTTGTCTGTTTGATACTTTACACACGAAGATACGAGTTGATGCTAGCAACTCGGATTCTAAATAGGGTATCAACCGACTTTAGATACCTGTTATATAAGTAACAGAGAAGTTGTAGTTAATAACTAGTAAAATAAAAGAAGTGTTCTGGAATACCTTAAGATTCACTCTCAGAAATAGGCAAGATTCGTGTAAGTTATATCCAGCAATCCTACGCACAAAAAGCGCAACGACTTTCTCCACAATCACCCAGGATTAGGTGAGGTTTGATAGGTCATTCTAGCCCAGTATAGGCTCGCAACTCCGGGCGGTGAAATACGAGTGCCGGATCTTCGCCGCCGGCCATAGACCGGCTGTGACACATGGCTCGGCATACCGCGAGTCGTCATGGTATGAGAGGTCGCAACGAGAGATGACATAACACATAATCGCAGTTGAGTAGAATCTTCCATAAAGTGACAGTAGGATCAGGGGTCATCAGATCCGACTAGGAATTGCCTAGGGCAGAATTCGAACTAGCGGTGCCGTGTGGATTATTGCCACCAGGGGTAAGACCCCGAGCCGGCTTCTGTTCTGAATGGGGCATTAAAGACGCGTCCGGCATAGATGATCCTGGTCCACGCACAAAAGCCGCAGACGGTCACTGCAAAAACGTTGATTAGGCGTCATCTCGTTGGTCGCATGACAATACATATTTGACATGGTTTGGCTCCCCGTTTTCTTACATTAAGTGATTCCTTCTGCAGTTGTGAAGTGTCCAAATTGGCAAAGTGGCGATACGAAGCGGTATTTGTGCGTAAAATAGTAAATATCGGAGGCGGTTGGAAATGTTACGTTATATTGACGACGTGACGAACCGCACATGCATTTTCTTTTTTTAAACTTTTAATGGTATCCAATTACTGGTCATATTACTGTTCATGTTCCTGGATTACCTAATGGTCAGCGTAGGAAACTACCTACATACACTACATATTAAATCACTATGATGGAAGCGACTCGATGGTACTTGCTTTAGGTACTTTAGGTATGTAGGCAAGCAACCTATGAATAATCACTCCTATGAATAATCACTGTGGCTGTTTCAACCTTTGTTGCCCCTGAACGCCTTACACGAAGCTGAGAAATCAAATGGCATATATTAGTCACTTGTCGTCGATATCCTGACCTGACTGGATATATGTATCATGTATCATATCAGGTAGTTATCTACTACAAAGGCTATTGAATACGCCGCTGAGAACAAGACAGGTCAATCTCTAATAGAATAAAGCAACAGGAAATCATATCGCTGATGAGATACAGGACATAAGAAACCACACGAAAAAGCAATAACTACCAAACGGGAGAAAGGACACCAGTTTCAAATTGGTACTATTATCGAATAGTTACATTAAATAAATATGACGTGAGTAAGTTGGGTATCTTGCTAAAAATTACTAGACCAAATCCATTAAGTATAAACGCCTTGACAAAATCTAACCCGCGGTGACAAGTCTCCTTATTTGTTCTCTCCCTCTGTTTCAGGTGGAACGCTGCCCTGCCTCGAATGCGCGGTAGCCGGACGACTCGTAGCAGTTGCTGGCCGGGATAACGAACGTCGTAATTTTATTCCGTTCTTTGTGTCGAACAGGTTTTTCACTTTCCTCAAACGCGTCCATCTTTCCTTGTCCTTCGCGTCTCTGGCACTCATATCCTCTTCGTCGTCCGATCCTAGCATGGGCGAGCGCCCATCTCTTGCATGCCCTCCTTTCACTGGCGTTGTTGGAACGGATGCCGAGGAGCGATGGAAAAAAGAGCGCTGGTTACTCTTCTCTGCTTGCGCGCGAAGGTAAGAGTTATTTTTAATCGTTTGCGCAAGTATCTCCCAAGCGGTTTTGTTGTCTACCTTCTTTGCACCAGGGTTGTGCTGAACCGCCGCATTTCGCCAGGGACAGAAAAACCGGTGCTCACGTACAGGATCAAGGTAATCCATAGGTGCCGGAACGAGAATCTGCTTTGTTTCTTCGTCTACCTCTTTGCTCTTAAACATCCACAACCCTAAGCGGCGTAGGCACGTAGCACAAGTTGCCGAATTAGGCACCGCACCAACACGTGGGTTTGTAAGGCCCTGCCAGCCTGTAAGAGCAAGGGCGAGAGCTACATCGTTTGGAGCTGATGGATTCGTGCTTGGTGGCGGGGGGTCGCTAAAGAAGTTTGGGGCCAATTGTGACTTGGCGGCTTGTAGATCTAAGTTTGCCGGCAAGCGGAGGTTGAAGAGATAGGGAAGAAAATATTGTCGCGCGCATAATTCATCGTACCGTTGGCGAAGGGAAGCTAGCGCAGTTGGTGGACTCGTTAAAGATAGTCTGAGCAAAGTGTCTGTTGTTTGTGGTTAGTATACGAATATCCCTAACATGAGGTAGTGATTGTAAGGGTCTCACCATCACATCCGCGTCTTCTCCATAGGCAATCTTCTTGGTGCGCATCGATGATCAATTCGACAAACCTCTTCACCAAGCCCTCCTCGATGTCCGAGCCGACCATAATCTGAACCTCCTTACCGTCCACCTCTCTTTTATTCATCTTGACCACCAACTCTTTGTGGCATAACGTACAACTCACGCGCTCCTTTCCATGGCAGACCCAACCTCTCTTGGCCCATTCGATCTCGTTGACTTTATCCGGCTTCGGAGTCCATTCTGTTAGCTCTTGGAATGTCCCAAGTCGCCTGATCAACTCGTTGCGATCGCCAGGGCAATACTTTGGTGCTTCAGTCTTTGTTCCTTTAGCTGGAGAGACAGCGCTGCCATTTGGGGCCCATTTCTTCAGTACGACGTTTGAAATAATTGTCCCGCCTGGTTTTTCGTTCCCGGGAGTAGACTCTAGGACACCTACGCGCCGACGCTTCAATAGATCGCTGGGGGTCGAGGGTACGCTTCCGGAAGGCATCTCTTTATTCGGGGTCAAGGAGTTGTCGGGTAGTGAACTGGAGTTTGGGGTCGAGGGTCGATTCAGAGGCGAATTTGAAGTATCGTTTTGCGCTTCTATTGATGGCGACTGAGGTATTGGCTTCGCGCCGATCCCTTGTAATAAGGCATTGAACTTCCGCTTAGTAGCATTCATGGTTGATCCGGTTCAATGAAGAACAATGCTGCTAGGAGGGTGGTATTAAGTATTAAATTAGAATTCTAGAGCTTGCTTAGAAGCTCTTAAGGAATTGACTTTACAGCCTCCTCGATTAGCTCTTGGAAGCACAGTTTACTTTGTGTAGTTTCAAAAGTAAGTTGGTTGATCAAGTTAGTATTGTATGAGAATCCACCAATAGATTATATTTAGTTTCTTAGACTTGAATGGCCAAGTTCGAGGCCAGATGCGTATGAATTTGTTAGGTAATGAAGGAGGTACGTAACTTTGTTGTTTTCTTTGATTCTCCAATTCCTACATAATTTACTTTACCTAAGCCACGGGTCGTCGGAGGGGTGACGGACCGGGGTATGGCCCCGACAGCCTATACCCACCTAAACACCCCTATGCCTTAGGGCTGGTGTGACTAGAATTGAGGCTATCGGGTTGGACAACACTTGAATCTAGCCGCTAAATAATGGCGATTAGAGAAACTGTACCTTGCAAAAGGTCTCGGGTCCCGACATTAGTGAGGTTGAACGCTGTACATAACCATGCATCATACATAGTGGGATAACATGAGGGGCTACAACGATTGTGTAAGCTAAAGAATCATTGAACCATTGTGCTGGCAACGAATATACATAAATCCCCATTATATTCCACTTACAAATAAATTACACAAATCGTGCTATATGCAGACTAAAAAGGATAAAAAGATAAATTCTACCAAGTTCCTTATTCTATCCTCTCTTTTCATCGTGACACTGGCCGCCTTCTTATTTCGAGCCTTGCCCCGCCTTACCTCACTGTCCCTGCATCTTTCTCCTGGCGCCCGCCAACAAATCCTCAGCCCTGTCATATCAAATAAAAATATGTCGTCATACGCCAAAGAGCTCGAAGTAGCACAGCTAGCCGTCCAGCGCGCTTCCATCCTAACCAAGAGAGTCTTCCACGAGAAGGCAAAGGGTACCGTCTCCAAGGATGACAAGTCTCCTGTTACAATCGGCGATTTCGGCGCCCAGGCCCTTATTATTAGCGCCCTGAAGGCTAACTTCCCCGACGATGAAATTGTCGCCGAGGAGGAAGCCGCTCAGCTGCGTCAAGACGAGAACTTGAAGCATACAATCTGGGACTTAGTTTCAACCACCCAGCTTTCCGACCCCGAGGCCGAGAGCCTACTGGGAGGGGCTATCGATAACGAGGAGGCCATGCTGACTATGATTGACTACGGAAATAGCAAGGGCGGTGCTAAGGGTCGTATATGGGCTATTGACCCTATCGATGGTACCAAGGGCTTCCTCCGTGGCGGCCAATACGCCGTATGTCTCGCCCTGATGGTAGACGGTGATGTCAAAGTTGGTGTTTTGGGTTGCCCGAACCTCCCTATCGACGACACTGCTACGTTAACGGGAGGCATGGAGTCCGGTCAGACAGACGAGGGAAGAGGAGTCCTATTCTCCGGAGTGTTGGGCCAAGGTGCTACAAGCCGCGCGTTGACTACTGGTGAATTGGCTAAGGAGAAGAGCATTTCTATGAGGGCAATCACCGATATCGCAGCAGCAACATTCTGCGAGAGCGTGGAGGCCGGACACTCGTCCCATGGAGACCAAGCTGAAATCGCGAAGCTGCTCGGCATTACGAACCCTAGCGTGCGAATGGACTCTCAAGCCAAGTATGCTTCTATTGCGCGAGGCGCGGGTGACATCTACTTGCGACTGCCTGTCAGTGAGACGTACCAGGAGAAGATCTGGGATCACGCCGCGGGCGACCTCATCGTTCGAGAAGCTGGCGGTGCCGTAACAGATATTCACGGCAAGCCGCTGGACTTCAGCATTGGGCGAACGCTATCGAACAACAAGGGTGTCGTCGCTGCTCCTACTGCTGCCCACCCACAAGTTCTAAAGGCGGTGCAGGAGGTGCTCTCGAAGAAATAAAATTGGCACCTCATAAACAGATAATGCATACAAGTACATAGTTTTTTTTTGATCGGGTATCTGCCGTCGTATAGTACATAGATACACGCCTGAAATAGACTAATACCATTCCTAAGATCATCTATTTGATCTTCTTTTGTTTTAGCTTGATCGTCTCGTCGTTGACAAAGATACCCTTTCCCTTGTATGGCTCCGGCACTCTCCACTTCCGTATCCTAGCCGCGAAAGACATGACTTCCTCTCGGTTAATGCCTTCAAGCAGAATTCTCGTCGGCTGCGGCGTGCTGGCCTTTATGCCGGCGGGGACCGGCTCCTCGACGGGGTGCGTGAAACCAAGCTTCAGGCACACAAACTTCTGTCCCGGGTAAGCTGCCTTCCTTGGCCGCTCCTCGACGGTCGCCCTATATCCGACACCCACTAATCGTAAGATTGCGGTATGCCCTTCTGATACGCCGATGATGTGTCGGTTGAGGTATGCCCATGTGGTTCCTAGTTGACCCCAAGTTAGTCCTAGCTAGCCCTTATAAAATCAAGAGTCTGCCATAATCGTAATAATGACTACGACGAGTATTGCACATACCCCACATCTCCTTCTGCTGCCTGATCTCGTTATTCTCAATGCTGAGCACCGCCCTCCTCGAAGCTTCGTCATGGGCGATCGTAAGATAAGGAGGAATTTCGAGATCGAGTTTCCCTAATGGCCCCGCTATAGTGACTGTCCGCTTTGGTATTTTTAGGTAGGTAGTAGGATCCTTCTTGACCCTAGGCTCGCCAATGATTAAGTCAACACCGGGCGGGATCGATATCGGCGTTCGGCCGAGCTTCGAGGGCCTATTTGATGTATTCGAGAACTGACGCCGCGGGGCTGCCGTCTGGAAGGCTGGTACGAGGAAAGCTGGGAGTGTGACAGGGGCGTTGGTACCTGAAAGGGCTCTCTCGAGCACCTTTCCCCTACTCGGCGCCAACATTGTGGATTTTGGGAGTCTCCGCTGTGAAGTCAATTAATTGACTGCAGAACTCGAAATCCTAGAATTTCGATTGCAGAGCTCGATGCGCGATGCTTGGCAATTCTAGACTAAAAATCGGGTCGAGTCACGTGTTGTGTAACTTGAAGAAAAGGACTAGTTATATGCAATACAGAGGCTTATGTAATTATGTACTACATACAACTTCCCCTATCGCAATTGCCTTAGATTTAGTAGCTCCTTCCTCTCTTCTGAAAGACTGAATTATCGATAGAAATAGTTCCCATAATTCCAGTTAAAAATCGATAATCTCTCTTGTTACATCTTCCAAGGAGATACCTTCCACTTTGTCCACTCTTGATATAATCGTGATATCTACACCTCTCTAATAAATCTTAATCTGACTTCAAATAAGGCCACACAGGGGTTGAGCAGAATGTGTGCGGTTGAGGAGCAAAAGTTCGTCGAATTCAACGGATGACGACCCAAGAGACACATTCAAGGATTTTTCTATTATTGGTGCCATACCCCTCCCTTCTGCCAGTTATTCCTATCGTCACTTTCTACAATACTAGGACTTCACTAGTCCCATATCGTGGATTTTACACACTTCAATAAATTTTCGTCACCTCTTTCATAGTTGCATTCTCTTGCTGTTTCCTAGGCGGCAAATAATATTCACCATGAATAACCAACGGAGAATCATGGGTTCGGCGAGGAAGGTAGTCATCTTCTTGCTGTTACAGGCTCACTTGATCAATGGATTTTCATGGCGTAGTGTGCCGAAAGTGGAATTAGGTATGTCACCGGTTGCCCGCTGCTTTAACACGTTTGCTTACTAGAAATCAGACACTGGAATGCTCACCGACTCAGCTACTGCTGGCGGCAGTCTATCACAACTCCTAAGGTCCGGGTCGCGATTACCCAGTTCCTATGAGGTAACCCTAAAGGAACTGCGAGAACTAGAATCGGAGCCCCTATGTCATAGGACAGCCGCACGCCTATTGGTTAATAATTGCGAAGTTCTCGAGGGCAAGAATGAGGCATCAGTTCTGACTGAAAGTGGCCGTAAAATTAGAGATTTCGTTGACTCGTACGCTGCCAGTCTGGCAATCTGCGACTTGGAGAGAGGGAGCTTCCAGATCCCAAGAGAATGCGCCAATTTTCGAGAGTCCGTACTAAGTCAGCTACCAATTCAAAGTTTAGGACACCTACACGTCTCTTCTGTAGAAGTTGACAGCTGCCTCTCTGGCTTAGGCGAATCCGACTCGGCCTAGAACACGTGGGTTAGTTATCGCCATAAAGCTTTGAGGTTTTGTGAAGCCGCTAGAGTAGACAACGAGAAAGGTATGAAATAGCCCCTGTCTAATTCGAAATTAGATTAATGGACTTACGCCCCTTAGACCAGCATATTCTTCTCTTTCAGCGTCTAACAAAGATCATGGGGCGATTTACAGACGACATCGACAAACAGTTTGAACAGCGTATGAACGATCTAGACATTCGGGCACAGGCTGCAGGCGGCAGAATTGATGAGCTTTCGCCAAAAGTAGACCATTTAAAAGACAGTCTAAAATCCATAGAAGACTTCTTTCTTGCTCGACTTATGCACACCGTTAAGGTAACTTATTATAATTCATTATACTTAGCTGGGAATCTCTTTTAACTTGGTTCTAGGAAACTACGGACGCGGTCAGTTCGGGGGCGCAGAATGCTGTCAACTTGCAGAAAATGCTCGAGGTTGTATTGAAGAGTGTTTTCGAGGGCCAAGCCGAGGTAGCATCTTCTTATGAGCACTCAATGCAACTTGCCAACCAACGTGCAGAGTCTGCAATTGACACGGCGATTCAGGCAATCGCGGTAGTTACCGAGTCTGCAGCGCATTTACGAACCCAAGTCGTACGTCGCATTGTTGTGATATTCTCGGTTCTATGCTAATATAGTACTCTAGGAGCTTTCGCGTCTCCAAGCAATGGAATTGGAATCGAGGCAAGCCAATTTAGAGGAGGTGAGGTATATCACTTTTAGGGTGCTTATTATTACTAACATGAACTCGCAGGGCATGCAACGACTTATCAGTATCACAGAAAACTTAGCGGTGAAATACGACGATCATACGAGCCTACTCCATCAGGCACGCAATATAACGAATGATATTCTTGAAACACTAGAGGACACAGCCGCTGAGGCAGCTAATGTCGGCAATTCAATCCTTAAGCAGTCGTCTGGCTCGTCATGGTGGCCCTATGTTTGGTGCCCGGCGGCATCACTAGTACTAGGCTCGTACGGGCTCCCCCCTTCCGCGATGAGAAATTTGGTACTGTTGACTTTAGGTATGTACCTAATTTCGTTCTAGAGCCACGCACCTACTAACATATCGAAGGCGAGGTAGCTGGCCTTACAATATCATCTATGAAGTCGTCCGCGCCTACCATCAAGCTCTCTACTTTGCTATATACTTGGGGGAATTCATTTCCTAAATCAAGCTCGCCTTCCAACACCGCTAGCCAACCTGAATTGCTATAGGCATCTAGACGACTTTTAGTCACATTTTTGACTTCTGATTTAGTAGAAGGCAAAGGTAGTGGAGGATCTGCCTTTTTACGTATATTGGTCGTGGTATCTTAGGTCGGGAAAGGATTCTACTTTGAAAATATCTGCTTTATCATGCTGTTTCCTCAGACATTGAGGAGAAGGGATCTTTGGAGCCGGGAAGAGGAGAGTCTGTTCTAGAAGCTCCTATCAAATAAATAATATACATACTGCCAAATTTTTATAGGCATCATTCGAATGCTTAAGTGTGATAAAGTCTCGTTTCATTTTCTCTATTTTGCTCGCCGGTATGACCAATGGGGACTTTGCTATACCCAATTCGTCTGACCGGCTCTAATGTACGTCATTCGATTGGATGCTGGCAAAGATGTCGATTGGCCTGCTCGGAAACTCTGGGCGCTGATTGGTCAATCCCACTGCGATTGTCTGAATGTGGAATACCCCCTTTAACGCCTTACTAATACTGGATCGTGGGCTCGACCCTTTAGCTTCACTTCACTATCGGACTTAGTGGGCGTAAGACGTATAGGGAGTGATCTTTCGAGCTGTCAGATGCAGATTTCGCATACGGGCTTCGGGATGCGGTGCATTGAGGAGGCCGTGAGTTTGTACTGATGATTGGTGGTGCGCTATGGGTTTCGCGAGAGCGATGGAATATAAATATCTGAGCTTTTCTCGTCTTGTTAGCACTTGGATAGTAGAATTGACAGACACAATAGTCTTTGGAGTTAAAGACCTCTACTTGAACTTTTCAACACACTTCTACTTTTCAGTCACCAATTATTTGCCAATATGCCTGCTAAGCCTATCCTTCGCCATCTGGGAAAGAATGGTCCCTTGGTGCCAGCTCTGGGTCTCGGGCTCATGGGAGCATCGTACTCAGTTTATGGAAAAGAGCTAGACGACAAGGAGCGATTTAAGCTGCTCGACCGCGCCCTCGAGCTGGGAGAAACCTTTTGGGACACCGCCGAGTAAGTTCTATTTCATGTGTTATGCTTCACTGAGTGAAACACAATTCATTAACAATGGACAAACAAGCCTCTACGGCGATGGAGAGGAGCACATCGGGAAATGGTTCAAGAGGACTGGCAAGCGAGACCAAATATTTATTGCTTCGAAGTATGGTATCATCAAGGGCAGCAAGACCTTTGAGGCCAATAGCTCTTATGAGTATACTAAGCAGGCCTGTGACAAGAGTCTGAAGGCTTTGGATGTTGACCAGATTGATCTTTGTAAGTTCTATCTTAGTTCTTCTCTCTACTTACCCCATATGGTCGTCTCTACCTTGGAGTATTTCCTTAAGAGCACACTTAGACTCTACAACCCCTAAGGACATGGCATTTTGACTCTTACAACTGAATACCTGTCTAACTCATGGGACGATAGACTACATCCACAGCGTCAACCCTGAGACTCCTATCGAGGAGACTATGCTCGCCCTGAAAGAGCTTCAAGCGTAAGTACCACTAATCCTAGTTAGTTATAACATAGATATCTAACCAAAAACCAGCGAGGGCAAAATCAAGTACATCGGCCTCTCCATGGTCTCCGCCGCAACCCTCCGCCGCGCCGTCAAGATCGCCCCCGTCGCCGCCGTGCAAACCGAATACTCCGTCTCCGCACGCGACATCGAGGGGACCGCAGGCACGGACCTCCTCGCCGCATGTCGAGAACTCGGCGTCGCCATCGTAGCCGCGACCCCCCTAGGACGCGGCATCCTCACCGCCGACTTCAGCAAAAACGACACCGCCTTCGGGGAAGGCGACGCCCGACCACGCGTCATGCCGCAGTTCCTCGCCGAGAACCGCGAGCGCAACGCCCAGGTCGTCGCGCAGTTCGCCGCCCTCGCGCAGAAGAAGGGGTGTACGGTGTCGCAGCTCGCGCTGGCGTGGCTGCTCAAGCAGGGCGAGGATGTCTTTCCTATCCCGGGGACGAAGAGGGTTCGGTATCTGGAGCAGAATTGGGACTCGCAGGATGTGGTGCTGAGCGATGCCGAGGAGAAGGAGATTAGGGCGTTTTTTGATAATAATGGGTTTGTGGGTGGTACGCTCCCGGAGGCGTTCAAGTCGCATAGGTTTAGGGATACGAAGGAGGAGTCTGGCTGAGCTTGTGGTGTGGTTCGTAGCTAGTTGTGTCTAGATGGAATAGTTGCTGTAGTTGGATGAATGTTGGGCAAAGGGGGTTGCTGGTACTTTATGTCCGAGACATAGCAAGGTCCTAAATAAACTTACGAGTTGGATTATTTTATACTTATTATTCTTAGAGTTAATGAAACGTTATTATTATTAATGATTTTTTGCATACAATTCTATAAGACTAATGTGTTAATATTAGGCTAGCCACGGGCGTTTATGCTTGTGCTTTGCCCCTATTTCTCATCGGTGGTGTAACGTGAGTATTGTAGTAGGTTAGGACATTAGAGAATACCTAACTTGATAACACTTTACGATCTCGCTAGTTATACCGTCAATCTATTTATTATATTTTAAACTGTCTTAAAGTTCTACGAGTAAAACGTTTAGTATTAATTTAATTTCTAAATTAATCATACAGGTATTCATCAACCCCCAAAAGCAAACGGACATCCAGCCCCTATTGCATACTTCTTCATCATCTCCGCCTCAAGCAGCACTTCTTTCCTCCCTGACTTCTCAAACTCGACCGGCCCCAATTCTTCCGGGATATACCCCCTGCCCGCATACTTCCCCCCGGGTGCCGTTTTACCACCCGACGTCAGCCATAGCACCAGCCGGTTGTACCACGTATCGGCAACATACCACGGCTCGAAGCCGACCCACCGCGCATCGCGATACAACCGGCCGTCCTCGCCGGGTCGTGCCATGGGATCCATCGGCGCTATGCGCGGGAGGAACAAGTGACGCAATGCGAATCCGCGTAGCTGGAAGAATCCCGCCGTTAGCGCCGTCGCCCACCGGGACGGGTCCGGGAAACCGAGGGCATCACGGACTGGCTTCTCGTTGATAAATGACAGGAAAAGAGCTCGCACAACGCCATGCAAGAAACGCGGAATATTCCGCATGAACAAGTCCACTGTAGCTGTTGCTACCATGTGGTTCTCAGGGATGAAATACATATGCTCATCCTCATACTTCACCTTCCACTCCTCAAGCCCCTCCAGCGTCTCCGGGACGAGCTCTCCGAACCCCATGCGCCGGGCAAGTTCCCGCCAGTACACGAAATACGCGACCTTCTCGAGCCGCGTCAAGGGCCGCCAGTCGTACCTATCGATCCAGCGCGCGGGTTCGAAAACAAAGAGCGCTAGCGTATGTACGTAATCGTACTCCTTGATATGTTTAGAATACAGCCCGTGAATCCAATTTAGACGAGCCATAGCTCTGCGACCTCGTTCGGAGTCTATGTCTCCGAGAAGTAGTTCGACTAATAGGATAACCGTGTCTTCGGCTCGTCGGCCGACGCGGGTGGGGTCGCAGAGCTGCCGCGTGCGGACGAGAAGGGGTGTGCCGGTGGACATACCGTAGCTCTTGACGAGGGCCCATTGGGTGCCGAAGTAAAATAGGAAAGGCGTGTCATAGAGCTGATGTAGGCGCATAATTTCGGCTGCCTGCCGGTAGTTCAGCTTATACGGGTCCTCGATGTAAGCGGCATACTTGCGCTCCAGGGCCCGGACCGCGCGAAACCGTAGAAGTTGTACTAGCGACAAGTGGACCAAGATAGCGGTAGGCACGAACATGTACCACGACGAAGAACTCTTCTCCAGTAGGTTTTCAGCATCCCCTGGTGGTCTTGTAAAGTTCTGCGGCGTAGCCATTTTTGATGAATCCATAGCGAACCTGTCCTTCAGTGAAGAATGAGTTTCCAAAGTTATGGCGGTATCAGTTAAGTACGGATATCTCGGAACGAAGAAGAATCAGGGACCTGAGAATCCGGTATAAGTGGACCAAACCATGCTTGTTTGCCTTACCTAATTTGTTCTATAGTTAGAGATGTTAAGGAATTGCGTGCATAATAGGTGTTTATGCAAGTATTTACTGGATTTGATAAAAAGGTAACTACATTATTATTGGTTGGAACCCTGTCCAGAAATTCCTTCATTAAGACTTGAAGAGAGACGCCTATTGGTGGAATCAACCTTACTTGAAGTACTATAATAGTTGCGTGCTTTGATATCGGAAGGCTAGGGGGTCTCTAATGTGTGAGGTTATTGCGTTATATCGTATAAATAAAGTAAATTAATTCTTGATTTGACTGCCTACCTGGTAGTTAGAAGAGCTAGCTGCTCATTTGCCAAAGATACCTCTTAACTAACATTTAAAAAGATGGTGATTTAACTCAACTTCATCTATATGCCCTTTCCGAAACAGAGTTACAGACATATGAAGTGCTTAGATGCTCCTAGGGATTATTTAAGTAATAGTGTTAAATCGAAAAGGTCCCAGTCAAAGGTAACACTCGGCTACTAGATCCGACAAAGACTCCATAGTCACCTTTCTGTAAGAGCCATTTCTGCGCGACCACATCCCACGTGCTCAGATCTCTTCTCGTCAACTCAAAATCGACAACCGCTGATTCTCCAGGTTCTAGTACCGACTTTGAGAACCCGCGTAGCTGCTTCACGGGGCCGTTGGGGATGCCGACGTAGAGCTGCGCGACCTCGGCACCCACCACGGAACCTGAGTTAGCTACTGTCGCGGAGACTTTCGCTACGATGTCCCAGAGGTCTTCATGGCCACCTTCAACGATCGGCTTTGAGGGATACAATGACGTATCGACGTCATCGACTGTGGAAACCTCGAGGTCTGAGAAGTTGAAGGTGGTATAACTTAGACCAAAGCCAAACTCGTAGCGAGGATTTATATTCTTGGCATCAAAGGCTCTGTAGTCGATATAGATGCCCTCTGTGAAGTCCGACTGTGGGAATAGTTCATATATACCATCAGGAACAGTCGCGTTTTGAATTGGGCCGTAGTCTGACTCGTTGCGCGGGACTGAATACGGCAATTTGCCTGAAGGATTGACGTCGCCGTAGAGGATGGAAGTCAAAGCTCTACCAGAGTCTTGGCCAGGAAGATGGGCGAAGATGAGGGCTGTTACATTAGGGTGGTCGATGAACTGGTCGACAAGGCGAACACCTGCGTTGTGGAACACCACAATGGTGTTGTTGCATTGAGACGCGACATTGGTGATGAGAGCATCTGTGAAATCGTCATGCAGCCCAGGTCTATCAAATCCTTCTGACGCAAAAGCATTACCAACAACAATGCAAGCATCCGAAGACTGGTCGACTTGAGGGTTCCCACTGTGGAAGTCCCACCATAGGCTTGTATCATCCTCATAAGCACGTTGGCTCAATGCCGCCGCGGGAGAACTGACGTAGGCTGGCATGTTTGCGCCAGATCCGCCGCCACTGATCAGCGTACCGTTAGCAGCAATCTGAGTATGAAGTACATCGTCGCCATTTGGAATTAAGTCAGCTGGCGCTAATGACTGTGAACCTCCGTTCCAGCCACCACCCCAAGGTGTATATACGTCGAATGATTTCGCAGAGTATCCGAACAAGGAGATTAACTTGGGCGACTTGAGGGGTAGCGCATTGTTAGTATTTTTCAATAAGACATGGCCTTCGACGGCTCCCTGTAGTAGGATATCCTTATTACTAGCTGACTTTGCGATAACTCGCTGATGAGGCTTCGAGAGGTCGTACGGCATCCCTTGACCCATAGCCGGAAAACCTTCGTCCTGGCCCAACTTATACCATGTAGCTATAATTCTACGCCAATTAGAAGGGAGCGCTAGCAGAGTAGTCAAGACGAACTTACCTGGTTGCCATGTCGTCTATTCTAGATTCCGGAACAGACCCATTCTTCACAGCTTGTGTTAGATTGCTGGACCAATATGGCGAGGCGTACGGCATCGTCATGTCTAGACCTGCAAGTGCTGTAGCAACACCTGAATGCTGAGCCCACCAGTCTGAGACGATGAAGCCCTATCGACCTGGTTAGATTGGGTACTTAGGCCATGGGAACTCATTGTGCATTTCATACCTGGAATCCTAGCTCAGTCTTCAAAAGTCCGTTTTGCGTTTTACTGTTGGCGCACCCGTAACTATTGTTGATCCGGTTATATGAACACATTACATTTACGGTACCAGCTTTCACGGCATCCTGGAAAGGCCTAAGTAAGAATTAGATTTGACTGTCCATATAATTACGCTGCCATACGTACCAGAGATATAGTTCATGCATAGTCTTGTCGTCGATGTTCGACGAAACAGCGGTAACGTTGCCCTCAGGGTTTCTATTAGTCTCCTGCTCATTGGCGATGAAGTGCTAAGAAGATATGTTAGCTACTTTCATCTAGAAAGATCATATGTACTCCCTACCTTTGTGCTCGTTGCGACTCCCACTGACTGTATCCCTTTTATAGTGTCGGCAGCTAGAGCGCCACACAGATAAGGGTCATTTGCGAAGCCTATATAGAAGTTAATACATAGGCTTGTTGGTTGAGTAAAGTACATCATGTAATGCGTTACCTTCCCAATTCCTTCCGCTTGATGCGATACGGCCTAAGGGGCCAACGACGGGCCCTAAAGCAATATGGACCCCTTTTGCTCGGAATTCGCCGGCCATGCCAACGGCTCTCTTATGAGCCAATTCGCGGTTCCAGCTGAGTAGAGAGGTTGGTTAAAAGATTCCATAGAAGAAATAGGATGAATCTACCTTGCACCAACCGAAATGCCTGAAGCCCAACTTGATGCGAAGTTGGTAGTGCGCACTCCATTACCAGCATCGCTAAGACAGAGACCGGTAAAGTTGACTCTCTCTATAGGGAGGATAATACCAGAACAAGAACTGTTAACTTCAACGCCGCCGGTAAGGTTGGCCTGTATACCAAGTTAGACATAGTAGTCATTTGAGCCACTCTGGATTACGCCTGACCTTTTCTTCTAGGGTCAACTGGGCCACAAGGGCTCGTGCTTTCGAATAAGAGTCTGCCCAATCTCTAAGTCCGGTTCCATTGGCTTTAAAACGTAAGTATATGTTCGAACTTTTCTAGGGTAATGCTTTACATACGTGACGGGTATACTGGAGGTGATTGTCCATAGAATATCGTGTCGTCCGTAATAATGGACTGGGCGACAGTGCCAATGCCGCTACCCCAAGTGGCTAGGCCGGCCAGGGCATACAGAGAAGTCGACAACATGGTGTACACACTCGATAATACAGTACAAGTTATCGGGAGTGCATAGTCATCTAGATCTAAAGGAGTGGCAAACCATATGGACGAAATATTCATTTTTAACTCTGGTCTTGCCGTGAGGGGCTATCGAGACAAAAGAAACGAATCGGTCCTCCTGAATATTAGCCGGTAATGCAGGCATTACCGCACCCGGATGGCGACTTACATGGACGAGTGAGGGAGAAACAGGGGTAAGTAGTGTTAATGACGAAAGAGTTTGGGGAATGTGGGGAGTGTCTTGGAGGTAAGGGGGAGGTGTATCAAAGGAAAATGCAAAAATATATATTTAGATTTGAGTGGTAACCTACCAATGTAGGTACCGGAGGCAAGGCCGAGGCCGTATAAGTCAGTTAAGACGGAAGCGGTGATTGGTAACTATAGAAGTTCTCAGTCAGATCTCTATACTATAGGGACGTAGTTAAGATATTCTAACAATAGGTTGTTTCTAACTGAGCAAGTAAAACGTGTATACACCGCCATACAAGAGAACTCATTTACGCCATTGACGTCCTACTTGGGTTAACCCATACACCCCGCACTTTGGATCGTCGGTTTACCCCAGCTACGTACGCAATAGGGCTGCCAAGAGTTGGAGTCCCGAAATTGCTTATACGAGCTAATGAAGCTTAATTTATCTTTGTTCTTTGTGTTACTTGTGCATCATTGAGATTTCCAAAGAGACGGAGTCTACATGTGACATTATATTATACTTGGCTTATTCTATTGTTGGACTTATTGTTCACGTAACTAGTCGATAGAAAGAAGATAATATAAAATAGCTACCTATACAACAAAATACATAACCGTGTTAGTTAACATAACGAGTGACCCTAGATCCATGTACGAAAAAGAAGCTAAGCCTCCTCCCCGGAACAATCCAACAAACCTGCCCAATCTACCGAGATCCACAAGGCAACTCCCGAGCCAAGACGACGAAGCTATTAGTACGGTTTCTGACCGGTGAAGTTTCCGGGAGGAGAATATCTCCCGATAACATAAACACCCCCTTTGGCGTCCTTGGCCGAGCCCATGCCGAGCTTGGTAGTCAATTTCCACATACATTGAGCTAAATGGTGGAAAAACGTGTTAGAAGAGTTACGAATACGGCAACATGGTTGACGACGACTCACTGTAATGACCGTATGATCCGAAATCGCCCTGGCCGATCGGCTCACCGTGGTAGTTCTTTTCTTCGGCAATCCACAGGTTTGCAGACATGGCGAGAGGCGTGTTGGAGCTGGAAGCCCTGCAGAGATGTCCGAGTTAGACTATGCTCTTATTTTCATTACGTGAGCTCATTATCTTACCATGCAAGATTTTCACCCTGGTTGGGTCGCTGGTCACCACTCGAGTGTTGCAATTTGCCGATTTGAGCGAGATGCTTTGCGTAATTCTCGGCGTTTTTGGCAAGTTGGTTATCCCATGCGAGGGGCTTGAGGCCCTTGCCCTTGCGCTTGTTGTTGTGGATATCTAGAGCCTTTTGTTGATCTGGGCCAAGAGCTGCAGCGATGCTGAACTGGACCAGTCCACCATTTTCAGTGGCTTCGGGGGCTTCGGCAGTCTCACCGTTAGGTTCGTGAGATAACGGCTCCCCGGCTTTCGCATCATCGCTCACCTCAACTTGCGAATCATTCTCTTCGATAGCATTCAATGAAATGAAGGCATTGGCAGCAACACCGGGTGCCTTCATGGGCTGCTGATGAACGTACATCTTACCTAGTTCCGTAAAGTTGCCGTTCGCATCCATGAGTTGGGCAGCGGGACTAACAAAGCCGTCGGCAACTTTGCGTTGGAAATCGAAGAGGCCGTATTCGAAGACCCAGTTCTGGCTGTCTAGCCAGTTGCAGATATGGACAGTGAAGTTTACGACGGCCTGATAGTTGCGGTCGATACATGCAATTTCGGTAACCATCTTCAGATGTGTTAGTTATGGAAGAGAATCCACGTTCGGTGATGTTAGACTTACGACTTTATGCTTAGGCCACTTGTTATGCATGTCCTGGATATACTTGATGGCATCATTGGCATTCTTCGAGTAGTAGTGCAAGCACAGAAAGTCTGGAGGGTCTTTTGACACGAGTGACATAAACTTTTCGATCCACTTCCGACCGTTTTCATCCTGAGGGTTATTAGTTCGATTAACGATCAATAATAATTCGACTTGGGAACATACAGAGGCTACGGCCGGGGAACCAAGTTGCTTCCCCTTATTCTTTCTCAGGGGGAGCATCTGGCCATACCAGATATCCCTTGCCTGCTCTGGGCTTATATTGGCGCGTTCAGGCTCGTTGAAGTAAAGTATAATAGGGTACTTTGAGTTCTGTATCTGAGCCCATTCGCCGCCTTTCGTGCTCTCGAGAACACGGACCATAGGGCGGAATGGTGCTCGATCCTTCAGCTCAGGGGGTACCCACGTATTCCAGTTCACCACAGAGGCAACTGGGCTGTTACCCCCGAAAGGTACTTGGTTGATCTTATCAGGGACGCCTGGGTGCCCATCACCACCGGTGTTGGTCCAGTCCCAGAGAATCTGACGCTTCTTGATAACCATTTTCAAAAATAGGTGGATGTAAAAGCTGCTATAAAAATAATAAGTTCGGAAATCTTAGGGGACTCAAGTTTCTCTGATCTTGATGTTAATCATTATGATACAGAAGGCAGCTATGGAGAGGACCTTATATATGTCTAACTTTTAGTCAAGAGTTTACCACATCACCTTATGATGAGCCCCAACACTGGGCTGAGGTGAGGCGGAGACACACCTCACGCTGACATAAAGAAGACACTGAGGGTACCTTTACGGCGTATTCTCTAGGTCAATCAACTATTTGAGTTGTCTTACACTGCTTAATTAGTTGTATTGGTTTGTTGGTTAGAAAAATCAGTTTAAAATTTGGAATAGTCCTATGTTAGATGACCTAACGTAACCGAGGCTTATACGTATACTTAATTCTGATGTTGCGTTTGGTTGTAAGCTTTGTATCGAGTTGTCAGTTTGAGGTATGGTCACGCTGACTTCGATAATAGCGTATCTCTTAACGTCGTAAATCTTACCAGTCAATAAAACCATATTAGATAACTAACTTGATTCAAGTCAGTCTAGTTAAGAGTAATTGGTTAAGTTGACGTAATACTTGGCATTGAAGCTATGAGAAGGTAAGAAGCGCAAAGTCCTTTTTCTGTCAGCTGATTATTGAATATTTAATAGTTCGAGTTTCTATGTATAACAATTTGGAGAATAGGATCAGCACGAGACTGACAAAAGTGTGCGGCTAGATTTGTCCTTAGCCACCCCCTGACAAATGCAAGGCTATGCAAAATCAGCGAGTTTTATTTGTATTGTATAACCTCGTTGGCCCTTCTAGGTTATAACTCTCGTTAGCTAATTGGAGTGACAATATTGGCCAATTGCATCATAATAGCTTAGATCTCACCAACATTACCTCGCGGCGAAGCCTTCAAGTCCTAACCTCACCGTAGTATCGGATCGTATGACTACGAAAGATATTCATATGACGATATAGTGTCTAGCATAGGACTTCGTCTCTACGTTATGGCTATCAGGGCAGAGTTAGATTAGTCTAACTCACAGCCGATCTCGTAATATGGACCTGTCCGGGGGTTGATCATGTTCAACTAGATTGATATTTTTAGCCTCAGAAGGCTACCTAAGGTAGGGAATGAGTGTAAGGAACCGATGGCCATTGGAATATAAATTATCCAATATCTCCCCTCTGGCTTAATGAACGCGTCTTCAGAGCATCAAGACAAGCCGACTGAGCATAGACAGCAATAACTATAATCAATATTCTAATCAATATGCATTTCCTCAACATTCACAACAGATCCAACCACGAACAGACCTTCCAATGTCATGGTTACAATGGAAATCAAGATCTAAAGATCAAAGCAAACGGCCAAGCCAAGCTTGAGGCTCCTGATGGCTCTTCTGGGGCCATCATTGCCGTCCATGAGGGTGTTATCGGCGAGCAATGCGAGATAACCAAGCACGGCTGGATGGGAAACGACACCATCGACATTAGTAATATCTGCGGCGCTGGTGGAAACATGACTTGCCAACAGGTCGGTGACCCGGCTGGAAAGTTCAAAGGCCACGAGACCTTCATGCAGGCTTGCAACGCGGCATACCACAAGCTCCCTCAGGATAAGAAGAACCAGCTTAAAGGTCATGTCTTTCTCGATGGCAATGGCAATGTCAAACGCATCGGGGCCCCGAAGGACTTCCAGCCCTTAGAGGAATTCGTGAGGACCTTTGCTAACGGACGAACTTATATCGGTGTTGGCGCATGGTAAGTTCTATAACATTTATTACACGGGAAAACTTCTGCTGACAGCTTTATAGGGGGCCCAGCAATGGCAACCCTGCCGATAATGAGCAGAGCAAGGCCGGTAAAGGCAGTAAGGACATTCTAATTATTTACAGTGTATGAATACATCATAGTAGAAAACCACATGTGATTGATATTTTACTGACATTTAATAGGATCATAACGCTGCCCCTGACCCTAAAAAGCCATTCACCGGTCAGTCCGTTGAACCGGCCGCCTTCGTATCATTCGCCGCAGCCCCTGAAGGACTGGCTGAACAGCTTATGACCGCCAGCTCCTCCGGCCCCGGTATTCTCCTGACCAATCACTCCAGCAAGGCGCATAGATACTTCTTCTACGAAAACTACTGGAACGGCAACGGCAAGGCTGGCGCTAACTTCGACCACCCGCTGACGAACGTCGAAGTGGGGCCAAACCGAACCGTCCATGTGCCCCTGAAGCTCGAATTCAAGGGCCGCGTGCAGCGCGGAGACCAGCAGCCCGCCACGTGGGGCGAGTTCCAAGTCAAAGCCGCTGACGACGGGCGCGCGCACGGCGACATCTCGATTCAGCAGGGGTGCGACGGCGCTGCTACCGTCGCTTCGACGGACGGTACTAACGTGTCGAACGGGTTTACCCAAGACATCCTCAAAGGCGCGCCGGCGGCTGCGCTCGACAAGAAGCCTAGCGGCGAGAAGACCCTTGCTAGCACTGAGGGCAACTGGAAGGGTCCGGGAAACCAGGCTGCTATTGATTGGGAGTACAAGAAGCTGGGACAGGGGAAGGCCTACATTAAGGGGGGGAGTGGAGTGCCGGATGTGGCTAGTAAGAACAGTTGCCTTCACTTCACCTTTTACGTGCCGTAGGTAAGATAATGGTATTTTCATTTGTTGGTCTCTGTGGAGATATGATTTGGGTTGCATGGGGTAGGTAAATTATGTAGAGTAGACCCGAGAAGGATCCGGCGATAGGCTTGTATAGAACAATGTGATTGGCGGAGGCTAGGTAAGGTAAGGTGGCTGTACATAGAATCTTCTTCATAGGTATCGAGCACATTCATTTAAGTACCTAGGTTAATTGTATCATATTTAAATTGTCGATCTAGTATCAGTAGTACCTCTCAAGTATAACTGGAATCTTCAAGTATATATTGTGTTATGAGAGTATAACGGGTGACCTTTACCATATATCACCCATATTCATCCGTGGGCGCCTAGGAGGAGGCTGTATTAGACACGCGGCACGATCGCACTTGTTAGCTTATGGTGACACTGCATATTATCGGTTACGGCTGAATTTGGGGTGAAGTTTTGGTGCCTTAAGGCGTTTTTTAACTCTCCAACACCTTAAAGAGGTAGTTTTAGTCTTTCCATCGCCTAAGTCGTTAGACATTTACTATATTTCGTATAGTCTTGGATGAATACTTGTACGACGACCATGGAGCTCCTATCTAGACCAAGAACCACGGAGGAACTCGTCGAGCGTTTAAAGAGACTAAAACTCGGCTTGGATAACGACCCGACGATTGAAAGGCAGAAGCCGACCTCACAACACGATCGAGAAGCTAACGCACTTCGTTCACTATTGCACTCTATGGTACAAACGTTTTACAGTCATCCGGAACGATCATACGCTGTCGAGGCTGCCTTGTTATCCCCATTTTGCAATGAGGAGAGCTATGTCCTTTTGTTCGAAGCCTTTGTCAATTTGATTGCGGCCGATTCGAGCGGGAGCGCTATTCCCGATATCAATGTTTTGATTTCCTTTAGCATCATGCTACGTTCAACTAAGGTCTAGCACGTCGGAAAGAAGCTTCAGCTGGGATATGCTATTCAGTGCCTCACGGACCGGCTCACGAGGGCTTGTTCGGCGGCCGATGATGCGACCCAATATCAACTACTGCGCACGTTGTCAACGATTTTAGATGTTATGAACGAAGTTAAATTCGAAGGTATCAGCGACACCCAAATAATGCAGCCCCTATTCGACCTGCTAGAAAATGTGAGCGGGCATCTCGACTTGCGTCTCTCCCAGATAGCACAATATGCAAAACAGGCCTTGCGCGGCATCCACAGCGACGTTAGCCCATGGGAAAAACTCGGCAAAAGTGCATGGAACGTAGTCAAGGGTGGCGCCGCAGTTGCTGGCTCCGTCGGGACCTTGGATCCTAGCAAATTACTAGAGGGTCTGGAAGCAGTAGGTGAAGTAGCGAAGATGGTAAAGCTGATCACAGACATCATTGATGGGCTCAATAACATAAGCGACGTGAATAAGGATGTCCAGACCCTTAAAGGTCCCGGGCAATGGTATGTGGCGCTTCGCTATACGGACTTGACAATCCAGGGACGAAAGGGCGTCATCCTTGAGTCTTTACTTAAGAACCTCAAACCATCATTGAAAAAGGACGAAAACTTTTTATGTGGGCTCTGTGCACTTTTGGAACAGGCCATCCACGATAATTCAGATAACGAGGTCATTAAAGTCCTGAGGGGGTTCTTGACAGACCAACGCGCCATATCCAAGTCTAGGCGCGTTCGCGAATGGGTCAATTTGATAGTTGGGCCTGCGAAGTCAACAAAACCCTCTAAGACCAAGCGGTTGCTCTATAGGCTGCACCTCTCACGGGAATACTTTACTACTGTGGGATACCAGAAAGCGCCATCCCAGACATTAGAAAATGTGCTGTTGGAGAAGGCGTGGCCTACTTGCCATGAAGCTAAGGTATTCTATGCTGATCAAGTGATACGAAACTACTATACCGATGAGATACTCGGGCGACTCAATGTTGAACGAATTGGCAATAACGAGAGGTTGCCCATGGACAAATGCTATATCAACTTGGCCATTGTGCAACGCGAGGCGAAAGAAAATAAGGCTGTTGAACAGCCCTCATTGTCGTTCCACCGCCGCCTAGCCATCTGGGAACCCAAGGAGTCGGATCGTGTCTCGCTAGTGGACCTCTTCCAGTCGGAATCAGATGCCGAACAGGGTATGTTTCTCCCTTCTATCATTCCTAGATATCATGCTCAACCATGTATAATCATTTGGATTCCCATTTTACTAACAGTACGGTTAGCAAATAAACCTTCGTATCAGCGTATACTCATCCGCGGACAGGCCGGTGTAGGCAAGAGCACTCTCTGTAAGAAGATCGTTTACGACTATATTTACCATAATATGTGGTTGACAATCATTAACCGCGTCATTTGGCTACCGCTACGTCAGCTCAAGGGTCGAGACATGCAGAAGTATAACTTTAAACGGTTATTATACGAGCGTTATTTCAATGATGGCTCCCAGGAGGGTGTATTGCTTGCTGATGGGTTATATGCTGAAATTATTAAGGAGGAAAGTACAACGCTCTTTATTCTGGATGGCCTAGACGAAGTCCTGGAGGATATATCTTCGGGCGAGTCTGAATTACTCCTATCTCTCTTGCAAAAGCCTCGAGCGATTATTACCACGCGGCCTTATGCGGTTGACCGAACCCTAATTAAAAATATCGATCGAGAGGTTGAGACGATTGGATTCTATAAAGATCAAGTGGGGCAATATATTAAAGCCGTGGCGCCAAAGATTGTAGACGAAGTTAAGGCTTTTCTAAGTACCCATCCGAGAGTCGAAGAACTGGCAAGCATCCCCGTCCAGCTCGATGCCTTTTGTTACATTTTCGAAAGAGGAACCTTTGATGAAGGCGAAGGCCCACAGACCATGACCGAGCTCTACAATGCCATCGAGCAGATGATGTGGAAGAAGGACGTGGTTCAATTGGAAAAGAATCGCCAAGGCCGATCGGGGCCAATTTATAAGAACGTGGCCTTCAGGTTGAACCCCAAAGAGCTTAAGGGCTTGGTCCAAGGAGAAGTAAACGCACTACAGGCCCTTGCGTTTGACGGATTAAATAACAATACGGAAGAATTTGACTTCAAGTACATGGACAAGTTCTGGGAGAGAGAATATGTCCTGACTGAGCACCTCGCTAAAGCGGAATACTCAATGTCATCGAAAGACTTGGAAGAATTATCATTACTTCGCACTTTAGACGGCGGCGTCGCAGCTAGGAATAGAAGCTATCACTTCCTTCATTTGACATTTCAAGAATATTTTGCGGCTCAGTACTTTGTGCAGCACTGGCCGGACAAGCATCTACCACAATTGGGAGTGAGCACCAACGAATTTCTCCGGAGAGAGAAATACAACCCGCGTTTTAACATCATGTGGCGCTTTGTTACTGGCCTACTTCATGCTAAGGGGGACGCAAGAAAGTTCTTTGAGACGATCGAGACAGAGCCATATGACCTCCTCGGATTCGTACATCAACGTCTTGTTATGGATTGTTTAGACGAAGTTGCGAAACTACAAAAGACGGCGGATTTCGAGCTTCGTACCAACTTAGAAGATCATTTAAAGCAGTGGCTACTATTTACAAAAAGGATGCAGGAAAAGTACTCTTCCGGTTGGGCATTCATTTGTGAATATCCCGAAAAGGTGTTGCAACAATGCTTGTCGAAGTCAGATGATGAGTCACTGCAAGGCATTATTCTAGGAGTACTAAAGTGGCGCCCCATACTCTCATCAGATACGGTTAACCAAGTTATCAAGTACTGTGAAAGTAGCAACCGGGGATTGCAAATTAACGCTCTTGGGGTGCTCTCATCTCACAAGTATTTACCGAGTAACCGCCTTCATACGATACTGAAACTAATAGGGAATTCCGATGCAAGCATCCAATACGGCGCCATATCGGTGTTAAGTGCACAATCAGACTTGCCAGATGCGATTTTCTCAGAGCTGATTGCGCTCGTGAAACACGGAAACAAGAAAGTACGGTCCTCCGCACTCGAAACCTTGACATCTGTTTGGACTTTACCAGAGAGGACTCTTCTAGAAATGGTAGCCATAGTACCAGATCTAGATGAGGATGGTGTGAGAGAAATAAAAGAGTGGACATTCAAAAGACGGCTCGACCTACCAGAAGAAATTGTCCTAAAGATGCTGGATGCAATCCAAAGAAGCCGATCGGAAGAACAATCAGAATCCCAGTGGAATATAGTCCATATGCACCGAGCAGCCAAACAATCGGGTCGCATTATGCCCAAAGTTGTAGAAAAGCTACTGAACATGTTAGAGGACCCAAACAGTAATGTCCGGGAAATTGGTGCATATTTTCTTTGTGGCTACGGACTGAAGGACGATCCAGATCTCCTTTACAAAATTATGGATATAGTTGAGAAGCCCAACCTCTCTCATAGTGCGGGACTTCTTTTATCTGTCATTCAAGGTCTACCGGAAAACATCCTCCACAAAATAGTAGATTGTTTGGAGAATTATGACACAGGCATCCAATCCACAGCAACGAGTATCTTAGGACGGCAAGCTGTCGAGTTCTCAACGGCCATTCTTCAAAGGATGAGCAGTTTACTAAATAATCCAAGGAAGCGACAATTTGCGACAGAAGCCTTACATGATCAGCGCTGTCTGCCAGAACAAATCTTGCAAACGTTATTGAACCAATTTAAAGATCCAAGGACTCGTTTATATGACCAGAAACTTATTCTATCGAATCAGTCAGCCCTACCGGATAGTATTCTTCAACAACTCATAGCTTTATTGCAAGTTGAAGATGCAGAACTGCAGTGCATGGCGAAGGATGTATTTTCATCTATTCGATCAACCCTCCCGGAAATAAGTATTAGAAAACTGACAATCCTTTTGGACTGTAAAAACATAAACATCCAGTATGCTGCAATGCAGGCTTTGATTAAGCAATCATCCTTACCCGGGGAAGTTGTTCGCAAGATTGTTTCGAGTATATGGCACTATGACGAATTAAAGATTAGGGATATTTTCAAGAATGATATGGACTTGGAACTGGTGCAACGGTTCATCATGATGCCTGAGCTCTTGTCGGATAAGATACGCCTATTGAAACATCCTAATCGCAACGTCAGAATTGGTGTATTACATGGCTTGGAGCGGATACCGGATCTACCGGGCGGTATTCTTGAGGAGATGGTACATTTGTTGGGGGTTGCAGACGAGGATTTATTATACGGGGTGATACAAGTCTTTCTCGAGCATCTTGGAAAGTCAGGCTCGCTAGACAGTGTCCCTGAAGAGATGACACATCTGTTTGACCATTCAAATAAGAAAATTCGTGATGCGGCGGTTTCAGCTTTCGCTCAGCAGCCGTCTGTTCTGTCAAAGCAGATTTTGCAAAATTTGGCACCGCAGTTGAAGGATTTCCAAGCTGATGCCCTCCATGAGTTATCACCCCTTCTGGGATTACAGCCAACTTTACCAGAAATGATGCTTCAAGATCTCGTTGCTATTATGCTAAACGATCCACTGGACACCGGGAATGCTGCGGCTGACATTCTCACCGAGAGCTTGGTCCAGTCAGATGCAACATTCAATTTATTGTTTGACCTACTGGATGAGGAATCGTTCACTCCGTTATTTAAATTCTGGGTGAAAGAAAGCTTCGGTATGAGCATGACGTGGCTTGTCGATGGAAAGAATTCCATTATCAGCTTGCGGGGAAGAGACAGGAGCATCCCCCTAGATAAGTTGAAGAATATAGTCCGCAAAGCGCGAGAATCCTTAGGCTTCCCCTACCAGGACTTTGGCCAAGTGCTCTAGAGCCTTTGTTTCTATTATTCTCTATCGAACCTCAAAATGCGTACATGATATCCAGAACTTGATTGTCTCTGGCGTTTTACTTTTGAGTTCATTTCTTTGAAAAGGGGCATGGTAACTTTCGCTGCTTGTTATTTCCTTAGCATTGAGTTGGTTTGATCGCACAATTGTTATTGTCCTTTACTAAACTTCCAACAGTTCCTACAATTGTGAGTTCCTTGCAAATCCTATCTCGATTTGATAGAGTTAGAATTACGACGAAGAAAAGATAGTTCGTGATTATGACGAGATAGAACTAAAAGGCTTGGAAACAAGATCTTTTTTATGTGAGGAAATCTAGCTACCCAAGTACCAAACTAGGGGAACCTGCGGTTATGCATATTGGAAGTCTAGATGTCTCATATAGATTCCTAATAGTACAAATAGGTATCTATTTACTTGACAACTTCGAACACCATCTGTTGTGCAGTAGCTTATCTAGATAAAGTATAAAATTAAGGAATAGGTAGACTTGGTGAGTGAAAAGATAGCATAGTCTCCAACGCTTGCGTTCCGGCATAAGGACACTCTATCTTTTGAATTCTAACTTGGCCGTAATACTTGTAAAGACATAACGTATCTTTGTCGCTGTGCGGCAGGTTGGATTTTAGGACGCTTTTACAACTCCGAAACGCGTGTACCTGGTGTCCTTAACGTCGTCCGTCGCCTCTAGATTGAAGTAAGCCGTTAATCATTTTTGTGCATTTCGTAAGGAGTGACTCTTCGTAAGTAGGCTACCTCAATGACCAGGATGTTCACAAGGGTCTTGTCCCGGTTGGCTGGGTATGACGAATATTTCCACGGCGTCAATCCACACAGCATATCATGTCATGGATTAAACCAACCGCGGGGCCCAGGGTTTCTATCGTACGGTCCGCATCTCGCAAGCTGATGGATTCCGAGGTTGGGATTGGGTGGCCGAGCATAATGAAAACTAGATGAATACAGGGGTCTTAAAGAATCCAGACCTTAAGCTACGTGACACGTATCATGCCGTGACTTTATCTAGCTATGAAGCTATGAAGCTATGGTGCTATGGTGCTTGACGCGAAGCGCATAGGAGAAAACCCCGCCTCAAGAACTACGAAGGCTGTGGCACTGCATATGATGGTGTGTGGTAGCATGAGTGGATTCAAGCTTTTGTTTGCTAAAGTGGGCGGTGGGAAAGGGTCTATTATTTAGAAAAAGTCCCTCAATTCGCCTAAGAATTATAGTATAACGACTAGTAGATCTAGACCGCTCGTTCAGTAGTGACAACAACATCATCTAATTATTCACCGCAATGACAAAATTCAATAAAAACAACCTCTTATGTTGATCAGAAGACATACTATCGAGTAGTGGATATAAAGATATGGGATGGAGGGAGGAGTTGGTGGAAGTTTATGTGCCAATCTCTTGGCGTCGGGCCTATGAGAACCCTGAGATGTACATTCAGGAGGAGGTGGGAATGTGGGACGTGGGTACCGCAGCTATCAACTCTGCCGTTCCGTGCCGTAACCGAATAATGACACCACCCGCATTGGTGTGAAACCTCCATGGCCGTATATCCGCTTTGTGAAGGCGCCCCTCTTAAGGTGGCCCTCTCGAGTCCACAAGAGAGCTACCTGTGGGGTCCATTGCCGTGACACGTGTACGAGGGTCTGCATCACTTCTAACGTAGTCGCGTTTAGAGTTACATGGCAGCTGGAGCTTACAGCAAAGAAGTTTTGTACTACAGCATCGTACAATACGTAGTGACTACCTCCTACCTCCGACCTCCTAAGTAGGCAGCTCTATATAAGCAAACCTCCTCCCCCGCGTCTTGCTCGAGAATACAAAAACTAAACACCAACCCCATACCGACTTACATCTTAAAGACAACTTCCTGAATACTTCATCAAAATGTCTAACTTCTACGCCTCCTCTCAAGACATCCGCGTGGATGACGGCCACATCCTCAGGGCCCGCCTCCGAGCCGAGGACGGTGGTGAGATCGACAGCGAGGTCGACCTAAACCAGTTCATCGGCAACGACAATGGTGAGTACCTCGCAGCCACTTGATCCCTTCTCTTTGCTATTAGATACTAATACGTTCTCAACAGGCCGCTTTGAATGGGGTGGTGTCAGTAAGTAGCGACGAGCCGTATCCTAACCAGACTCTCCCCATCTTACTAATATAACAGACTTCTCCGAGACCGCCAGAGACGTATCCTTCTCGATCGAGGGGGGCGACAGCGTGCCGGTCCTACGAGCCGAGCTACAGAACCTCGACGGCGAGTGGGTTGGCGCCGACATCAACCTCGGAGAGCGAATCAGCAACGACAACGGCCAGTTCCGATTCATCTAGAGAGCCGCGATGGCCTCTACTACCACCCAGCAATACTATGAAGAGTCGTTGGGCGCGGTCCTACCTCGTCTTTGGGTCTGAAATTACACGCGAGTGATGGAAAAACAAGTAGAAATATACCCAATTGACCCAAGATAGAAGATAGGCTTGATATCTACTGAACCACTTCCGAATTCTACGTGTGACTAAAAACCCCGTGAAGCTCTGAATTATTATGAAAATGTGCTACGCCCCTATTTCTTTCAATTTCACCATTTCTAGTCTGTCTTTCGTATCAAAGCCGATGTGAGATGCCGTCCTTTTGTAGCACCTATATGATATTATTTCCATATAGTAAAATTCCCAAATATTTTTTTATTGGATGATAAAGTCGTTAATTATCCAAGACCCAGCCAGAGAAATTTCCAAGAGGTTCTAGCCTCCTAGGCGCGTGCTTGGCTATTCGGTGTAGTGACGATGGCTGCGTCTGTACCAATAGTAACGAATTCAACTGGCGGATCTATGCCATTTGCTAACAAATACGAGGGCGTTAGGATGACATGCATTTTCCCTTGATGACTGCATGTTAAATGAGGAGGTACGATTTTCAATCGTCGCTTATTGTGGCGTACTTTTTTTTTGGTTTCTTGCACATCGTAAATTCTTCGATATGCAACCCGGTTTATCTCAGTAGCTCAGACCAGAATTCGAGAAGCGGGCTTCGCCCGCTGGCGCCACGGCGCCACAAAACGCATGGTCCGTGTGTTTGTATCTGTGGGTCACGACTTGAGTGTTTCTCGAATTTTGGTCTGAGTCAATTTGGGCGCCAAGGCCGCAAGAGTGGCACAACTTTTTCAAAAACACCATGTTTACGATGACTTAATATTCAACAACAACGTATAAGATGGCTTCTATTTTTATGACTCGGGGCTAGTATTTTGCTTTCTCTACCTTTCCATCTTTTTTGCATACCCGTACGGTATCGCGTTGTGATATCGCAGGCCTCGACGTCTAACGTAAAAGTGGCATCGCAACCGGTAATACGCCGCAGTCAACACCAACAACACCCACAACAACACCTACAACACCTACAACCAGGTATAAAATGGTATATTTTATATCTGGGGCTAATAATTTAATTGCCCCAGCATTGTCGTCTTTTTTTTTTTATACCCGTACGATCTCGTTGCGTGTTGCGGCTATCGCGTTGCAACGCGTGTTGCGACCGGTGTTGCGGCTAATATTAGCCACTTTTATCAATACCACAACAACATCCACAACACCTGCAACCACGTATAAAATGTTTTAAGGGTTATTATTCAATTGCCCGAACATTTTCGTTTCTTTTTTATACCCGTACGACCTTGTCGCGTGTTGCGGCTACCGCGTTACGGCTACCGCGTTGCAACCGGTGTTGCGACCGGTGTTACGCCTAATATTGGCCACTTTTAACACCCCCGAGAGGCTTAAAACGTATAGATTTAATCGATAAACCTAATAAAAAGGTTAGTAACTATTATATAATTAATTATTACTTACTTTAAACGCGTTGATAATTGATGCTATTTTTTTAATAAGTACTTACTTAGGGGTAAAAACGACCAAATTGACTTAGACCAGTAATGCGAAATTTTTTTGTGAGGGTAAGTTAAGGGTATGATTGGTCAAAAAATGATGTGGCTAAAAGGGTACAACGAGAGGAACCAAAATTTCGCATCTGGTCTGAGCTACTGAGATAAAACCCGGTCCAGAACTGTGATTGACCCGGAACGAGACTCATGCTTTCTCCCTGTATTATACACTATAGAAATATATTCGCCGTCACGAATGCTGGGAATCCTATCTGTATGAAGTGCTTTTAATGACTTTAACATTGTAGTGTTATTTTTGCCAGTGCAGTCGAGGTGTCAAGCCTTCACTTTTAAACAAGTCATGGCGAGTCTAGAAATTTTTCTTCTTAGTCTTCTCGGGCTTCTATCAACAGGACAATAGGGATTAAGTTAACATGATCCCGAGTGTGCGCTAGAAGTTCTGTGTTTTATTTCCGCGGGAACTTAAAAAGGGGGGAAGGATAAGACGTTAATAACTTCGCACTGTGTAATTCATACATACCTAGGTACCTACAAGTCGCTTTATGATGGGACACCGGTCATGTGACTATGTCATATGACTAGGGTTGTGCCCATACATACCGCCTGGGAATTGACCCACATGCCCGAATTTATAAAGGTGCCCGAGTTTACGAGGGATATTATTAAACGATTTTTTTAACTGGCCATTTTTCGAAATAAAAAGTTTATTTATACGTAACTTTAAAGCGTTTTTATTAAGTATATTTTTAAATTTTTACGTATTTTTTTAAATTTTTATTTCCATTTTTTTTTTAAAATATATATATTTTTTTTTATTTAATATTATTAATTACGTAACCGTATTATATATTTTATAAAAGTTTAAGTTTAAATTTTATATATTTTTTTTTTTTTTTTTTTAAAAAAAAAAAAATTTTAATAAAGTTTAATATTTAAAGTTATTTGTTATTATTGTTAAAAAAAAGTTATTTTAATAATTTAAACTAATAATGTAAAATTTAAGTTTATTTTATTATACCTTTTTAACCATATTACTTTTTAATTAATTATACCTTTAATTTATTTTTATAAAAAAATTTTACATTATTAATTTAAATTAATTTAATTATTTTTATTTTTAAGTAAATATTTATTAAAATAATATTAATTATTAAATATAATAACGCGTTTAAAGTAAATAATAATTAATTATATAATAATTATTAACTTTTTTATTAAGTTTAATTATTAATTAAATTTATGCGTTTTAAACCTTTTAAAAGTATTAAAAATGGTTAATATTAACCGTAATACCGGTTGTAATACCGATTATAATGCGGTAATTGCAATATGCGATAAAGCCGTATAGGTATAAAAAAAAAAAAACGGGAAAGTTTAAACAATTAAATAATAACTTTTAAAGTATTTTATACGTGGTTGTAAATGTTGCAAATGTTATTATAATGTTAATAAAAGTGGTTAATATTAACTGTAATATTAGTTATAATGTAATAATTGTAACTTAATAATTGTAATACGTAATAAAATCGTATAAATATAAAAAAAAAAAAGCCGGGAAAGTTTAAATAATTAAATAATAGTTTTTAAAATATTTTATATGTAATTACAAATGTTGTTATAATGTTAATAAAAGTAATTAATATTAATTATAATATTAATTATAACGTAATAATTGTAATTTAATAATTATAATACGCGATAAAATTATATAAATATAAAAAAAAAACGAAAATTTTAAAACAATTAAATTATTAACTTTAAATATAAAATATATTATTTTATATTTAATTGTAAACGTTATTGTAAATATTATAAATATTATTATAATATTAATTATAATATTAATTACGGCGTTTTTTATAATATGTTACATTATTTTTTTTATATTAAAACTTGTAATATTATAACGTAATGTTATATAAATATATAAAAAAAATAAAAAGGTAAAAAAAGTAAAATATTAACTTTAAATTATAAAAATAAAAGTTATTTTATACGTTATTATTAAATATTAAATTATTGTAAATATAATATTTTTAAAAAAATTATACCATTTTTATAGTTTTAACGTTTAAATTAATTTAAATTAAAATTCGAGAAATATTTAACTCGTGACTTATAAATATAAATATATAAACCATACATTTATATAGCATTTATGGCGTAAACTAACAGGCGAAACTTGTTTCTCAAATTTTAGTTTAAGTTATTAAAATAAAAAAAAAACGCTTGATACGCGAACGCGCCAAGCGTTTTTCCCCGGCAATAACGGCACGTAATTTATAAACTTGGATTATTATAATGCCTTGTAAAAATGCTTTTATGTGCCCGAATTTACGAAAAATATTATTAAACAATTTTTTTACCTGGTTATTTTTCGAAATAAAAAATTTATTTATGTATAACTTTAAAACGTTTTTATTAAATACATTTTTTTAAAATAATAAATTTTATTAAATTTTTTATTTTCGAAAAAAAAGTTAAAATACATATCTTTTTATATAAAAATATAAGTTTAAATTTTATTTATATTTTTTTTTTTTAAAAGAAAACTTTCTAAAAATCTTATTATATAAAATAATAAAAACTTAATTTAATATAATATTTTATTTTATTTATTTTATTTTATTTTATAAAATAATTATATATATTATTTAATTTTAATTATATAAATTATATAAAATTTTAAAAAATAAAAATATATAAAAATATATAAAAAAATATAAAAAAATATAAAAATATATAAAAATAAATATTTATATAATTTTTATAACTTTTTTTATTTAATTAATTAATTTTTTAAATTTAAATATAATTTTTTATAAATATTTTTATTTATTTATTTTTATTTATTTTTATTTATTTTTATTTATTTTTATTTATTTTTATTTATTTTTATTTATTTTTATTTATTTTTATTTATTTTTATTTTTATTTTTTAAAATTAAATAATATATATAATTAAAATTAAAATAATATTAAACAAGTAATAAAAATAAATTAAATAAATAATATATAAAATTATTTTATATTAATATATATTTAATTTTTTATATAAATTTAATAACATATAATTATATTATATAATAAATTTTAATTATTTATATTATTTTAAAATATATGTTTTTTTATTAATTAAATTTTATACCGTTTATTTATTTTTATTTTTATTTTTATTTTTATTTTTTATTATATTTATTTTATATAATTTTTTATTTAATTTAATTTAATTTAAATAATTTAATAATAATATAAAATTTATATATTTTTATTTAATATTTTTATTTAATTATATAATTATATATAATTATTTTAAAATAAAAAAGTTAAAAATAAATCTTTTTTTAAATAATTTTTAATATATATAATAATTTAAAAAAATTAACATTAAATTATTTTTTTATATTAAAAATTACTATATTTATTTATTTATATTTATTTAAAAATATATATAATTATTTTATATTAAAATAAAATAAAATAAATTAATATAAAATAAGTTTAATCGTTTTTTTATTTTTAATTTAAAATCTTTTTTAAATTAATTAAAAAATATTAAAATAAATTATTTTTAAAAATATTAATTTTATATAAAAAACCTATTTAATATATATATTTTAATAAAATATTTAAAATTAAATTAAATTAAATTTTTAAAATTTTAATTTAAAATTATAAAAATTTATATTTATAACTATTAAAAATTAAAATAATTATAATAATATTTTAAATTTAATTATTTATAAATATAATTAATTATATTTATTTTAATTATTTTATTTTTAAATTTATTTTTTAATTTTAATTTTATATTTTATAATGTTAAAAAAATAAAGTTTATATATAGAAAACGGTATTTTAAAAATAAAGGTATTTTTAAAAAATAATATATTATTTATTATATTATTATTTTAATAAAAATTAAATTTATATAATTAATTATTTTATAAAAATATAAATAATTAATTAAACTTAATAAATTTTATAATTATATTTATAAATTAATAAATTATTATAAAATAATTTTACGGTTAAATAATTAATTAAATATTATTTATTAATAATATTTTAATATATAAGCTTTTTAAATAATATAATTTGTAAAAAATATAAATAAATTATATTATTATTTAACGTTTATTTTTTCGATTTATTATATATATATATATAAATATATATAAAAATAATTAATTAAATAAAAAATTAAAATATATAAAATATATTATTTATTTAATATTATTAATTATAATTATTTAAATATATATATAAATATTTTATAAAATTTTATTAATAGATAGTTGTAAGCTTTTAATCTGTTTCGAAATTTTGTTATAAGAGGTAAAGGCTAAAAAAGAATTAAAGGCAAAAAAAAAAAAAAAAAAAAAAAAATTGTTCGTTAAATTTTTCCGAAAGAACTGCTTAAATTTTTAAGTCCGAGAAGCGGTTACCCTGTAAAAAAAAAAACTTTTTTTTTATTTTTTTTTATTTTTTATTTTTTTTTTATTTTTTTATTTTTTAAAGTTTTATTATAATTATTTTTTTTATAATTATTTTTTTTAATTAATTTTTTATTATTTATTTTTAAATATATATATTTTTTATTATTTTTTATTATTTTTTATTATTTTTTATTATTTTTTATTATTTTTTATTATTTTTTATTATTTTTTATTATTTTTTA